ATATATCTTTTTGAATTGGTGTTTTCATTTTCATTTTCATTTCAATATTCAGTATTGAAATTACTGGATTATATAGTATTTCTATTTTGAATTTTTTCCGTTAACTCCATACTGTTTTCCATAGTGGATGCACCAATTTACAATCTGACCAACGGTACCTGAGGGTTCCCTTTTTTCTGTATCTTCACCAACACTTGTTATTCCTTGTCTTTTTGATACTAGCCATTCTGACTGGTGTGAAATGATATATTGTGGTTTTGTTGGCATTATGGTTTTGATTTCCCCGATGATTAGTGATGTTCAGCATCTTTTCATGTGTCTGTTGGCCATCTGTATGTCTTCTTTAGAAAAATGTCAATTCAGGTCCTCTGTCCATTTTTAAATCAGATCATTAGGATTTTTAGTGTTGAGTTGTATAAGTTCTTCATATATTTGGGATATTAACCCCTTGTTGGATATATCATTTACAAATATATGAATATGTCTCCTCAGGCAAGGAAAACAAAAACAAAAATAAACTATTGGGATTATGCCGAAATAAAAGGCTTTTTTGCACGACAAAGGAAACAATCAACAAAAAAAAGGCAAACTTTTGTTCTGTTTTGTTTTTCACACCTTTGCAAGTTTCTCTAGTGTGTACTATAACAGAAGACAGGGAGATTCTTGTATGTGTGGCTGCATTCAGTCTTCTGTGATATGTTTTTAAACCTGAGAAAAAGACTCTTTTAGACAAGGAGATTATTGAACTTTTCCTCCATTAGCACAGTCTGTAACTGGAATTGTGAAAATGTGAGAATTTTGCAGGAGAAATCCATATTCACACAGATATGTGGTTGGTAAAGGGAAGGCATCATAAGATCCCCTGGATGGGTTTTGAGGACTTCTGGGGTTCTTGAAACATACTTTGTGTACTATAGAATATTGTTAATCATAGAATGTACTCCAAAAAGCATAAAAATGGTATGCTTTATTGTCAACATGTCTAAGACTTTCAGAATTTTTTTTTTATTTTGCCTTGAGTTATCCTCTATTATTAACTTTAGTCTTTTATTTAGTTAGCACCTCTTACTGTGGAAACAAGAAGAAAATGAAAGTAGTGCTTTCCATTCTTCCAACTTCAATTTTTCACTTGGATGTTCTTTGGTAAGGGTTATAATGCTTATAGACATCCAGCTATGAATTAACTTTAGGAAATTATCTGAAAATTATTTACTTCAACTTTATTGTTTTACTTTCTTATTTGTTCATTATATTTTTTTTCTGGTTATAAAAATAATCCACAGTTGGAGTTGAAAATCATGTAATGACCACTGAAGGCAATTTGGTTTAATCCTTTTCAGTCAAAATTGTATATGCATTTACTCTTTGACATATCAATTTTACTTCTAGATAATTAACTGGAGCATTGATTGCACTAGATAAAGATTGTAATAGATAAATATTTGGATATTCTCAGGTAACATAACACATGCCCAGTAGTTTATCCACATGGTAGAAGACTGTGTAATTTGAACAGGAGTGAGAAAGTTCTCTACATAGTAACATAAATATATTTCTTACATGTATTATTAGTTTGAGAAAAGAAGCACAGTACAGAAAAGGGTACATTTTGTAAAAAGAAGGAAACATAAAAAAAATGTGTGTTAATATTTGCATGAAATTGCAGGTAATTAATTAAGTGGTTAAGGAGGAAAGGGGTAAGGTACTGTTGGGAGGGGAAGGTCAAGAATTTTAATCAAAATGTATTCCACTTTCTGTCTGTATAATTTTGACTTCTCTAAATACATAGTAAGTGGAATCATAGACTATTTGTCTCTCTGTGACTGGTTAATTTTACTTAGTATAGCATCCTCAAGGTTCATCCATGTGTAGTATATGTCAGAATTAATTTTCTTTTTAAAGCTAAATAATATTCCATTTTGTTCCTGTACAGCAGTTTGCTTATCCTTTAATGCATTGATGGACATTTAGGTTGCTTTCACTCATAAAATACTGTGAATAATGCTGCTATGAATATGAACATGGCTGTACGAATTCCTCTTTGAGACCTTGCTTGCAATTCACCTTCCATGTCTTCCCCTGGAAGCTGCAAACCTTCAGTAGACTCCAGAGATCCAAGATAGATTAGACAGATTCTGCAATTGCTGCTCAAGTGGGGAGACAGATGCCTGGTGCTTACTATTTTACCATCTTTTTCAAATCCTCCCTAATGCTAATTTCTAAGTGTCACACAGCCTTAAGAGTAAAAACAAGGAAAAGTAAATAAGCAAGGGCTGTGGGTCTTAATTTTAGTAGTCTTCTGCCAGATAAAGGATATACATGTGAATTTATTTGATGATATATATTTTGGCCAGATCTGATTAATCAATGAGTTATGAAAGAGTAGCTTTCCTGACAGTGGTGGTGATTGGGGGTGGGAAGATTGTTACCCTTATCCTGAATAAATTTGGGAGGATTATTGGTGGTGGTCAATTTGAACCACATGAGTATTCCATAGTTAATACTATGTTCTTCATCTTCTGAGAAATATCTAAGGGTTAGTGTGTGGAGGAAGACTGCAAGGCACAAAAGACATGTGGGACTGCTGGATGCTATTGTTGATGAAAGGGAATTAAGCTGTCAAATTAGTGGGAACTTTGGGGCCTGAGCAGCCAATGAGGGAAATTATAACATGAAGTTGGACCAAAATCTCCATTTAAGTCAGAGTTCTGGAGCTACCTGCCTCCACATTCTCATGTTTCTTAAAGCCAAAGAATGAGAACTGAAACTTACCAGAAAATATTGGCTACTTAATATATACAGAATATAAGCCTTTGTAAAGTTATTAAAACTAGATATTTCAGATACAGTCAAATTAAAAAAGTATTTTTAAGAAGTTAAAGTAGAGTAGAAAAATATACTAGATATGGGTCTTATGAGATAACAAGAAATTTGGATGAAATATAATTGTAATCCCTTTTAAAATTATTTAATCCAGGGGCGCCTGGGTGGCTCTGTTGGTTAAAAGACTGCCTTCAGCTCAGGTCATGATCCTGCGTCGGGCTCCCTGCTCTTCCCGGAGCCTACTTCTCCCTCTCCCTCTTCCTGCCTCTCCTCCTGCTTGTGCTCTCTCTCTCTCTGTCAAATAAATAAGTAAAATCTTTAAAAAAATGCATTTAATCCAACTCAATAACGAATTCAGAACCAATGAGGCAATACACATAAAAATGCTCTATAGTCTAAACCGCGGCTAACAAATTCCTTGAATATCTTGGCATCAGAACTAGTGAATACTTCTGCAGGTTTTGAATGCTATTATTCTTCAGAATAGTTCTGAAATTACTCTTAAAATTATCATATAAATATGGAATAGTAATATTGTTCGACAAATCCACACTGTAAGAACGCACATTTCATGAGCACATTGTATCATAAAATGTAAACATTAAGATTTGTCAATTCTTACAGATCATCCAGCATATGCAGTTTACACTATAGAAGAGAGAATTATGATAAAGAATAAATAATTTGTTTCAGTTAGTAAAAATAATTGGACAAGAACTGGAGCATGTGATTCTCCATTTTGAAGTGTTTCTATTTACACAAATGCTTTACTATAGATAGAATTTCTATTAAAGAGTTCATTTGCATTCTAATTATCTAATGGGTTAAAAATATTTATTGTTGTAATAAAAAATAGTCATTGTGCTATTGCTACTACGTTTATTATAACAAAATGAAAAGCATTACATTTTGATTAAAGTGTTCTTTTCTATAATTACAAAAGAACTAAAACAAGATACAGAAAGTCAAATTTCAGTGTACTTAAAATACAGAGTTAATGTCTGAAAACAGTCCATCCTATTGTAATACTTGTAATTATTATGTTACTTTAGAGACAGCATGTCAGATCATGTCCCTTGTATCTAAATTCATAAAGGCAGAAACTTGATTTATCGTGCTTAATTGCTAAGATACATATCAGTTCCTACTCCCACCACTAATGGCAATAATACAGCATCAGTGCTGACCTGAATGCTATTGTAAAGATATTTAATTATTATCAAACTTCTAAATGCCTGTCTGGTCATGTTGTTTAGGATATATAAAAAGCAATTCTATTAATATAATTAATTTTAGGAATATTAGTTGTCAGATTCAATTGAAAATCATAAAAGTGTGCATTAAATAAAAATTTGTGCTGTACTTTGAAATTTAGCATCTATTATGGATGCTATTGATTTGTTTATTGCAAACAGTACATTTTAGTAACAGTTTCAACGTGTCCAAAATGTGCAGCATATACAGTTTTTGCAATGTAATTAGTTAGAAATTGGGGAAGTTTAATTTTAAAATTGAATTGTTCATGAAAATCTATTTCATATTCTCTATGGCTTGAGCAGTTTCTCTTCATAAAATGTTCTATAGTTGTGTGAAGAAATTAAGTGCAGTTAATCAGAAAGAACATTATAGTTTGACACCTAATTTGAAAGCCCTGTCCTGAAGCAGTGAATGATTGCTTATAGAATTACATATGCCGATGAGGACCCAAATAGGAAATCCATTTATGCTCCAAGTAGATCTCAGTGTTGATGTCAGTCAGGGTGGTATTGTCTGTCTTTTTGTGAGAAATATTTCATAAAAGTATATATATAAAAGTATATATAAAAGCATATGATCCAAGAGCTTTTCTTGGATTCTTATATATAAAATAAAGTATATATATATAAATTTGTTAAATGTCTCATTTCTCATTTAGTTTGATAGGTTAAAAATAATAAAATAACATTAGCATGAATTTTTTAATTATTGTACATTGGAAGGCAGATCAGTGGTCTTGAAGTCATCTTACTGTGCAACCAAGTCAGTCCTGTTGATATAAGTACGGAGGTAAGAGATCAAGTTCTAAAGCTTAGCATTTTAACAAAAACAACAACAAAAAAGTAGTTGTCAGAAAGTCCCAATGGCACTGGTGAAATGTTTTTCATCTCTATTTAATCCATATTCATCTCTTTTTTCAGTGCCGCCAATGATCACAATGCCTCAGAAATCCTTTAATGCCACAGCAGAGAGAGGAGAAGAGATGACGTTATCCTGCAGGGCCTCTGGCTCTCCAGAGCCCTCCATCTCCTGGTACAGGTAGGTTACGCATACACGTCCTTCTGGCTTGTGTCCAGAATCAATCTCATGGAAAAAGTTTTCTGATCTTATTTTATCAAGACTAAAAACACTCCTTTGAATTTTATTAAAAGGTTATGGTGGTTTTGTTTTCAGTTAAATTGGTTAGATTAAAATGTTAAAGAGATTAACAGAGTGATTTAACCCAAGTCAAAGGCTACACACATGGTGCTGGCTTTTCTTTGTATGAGGCATGTTTCTGGCCCAGAAGCCCAATGACTGATTCAACCACGTTAATGTTACTGCTAGAAAGTATCTAGAAATACAAATGCTAGTATTAATAGTACCACCATCGTATATATATAAAAACCATTTTATTGGAATGTAATTGTATATCTTAATTATGTACCATTTTATTCAGGAAAAAAGCTAATTATGTACAGTTAAATTTCCATAAATGTAATGTCATTTTTAAAAAGCTTACTTCATCAAATGAATAAACTCTCTATTCTCAATCTGTTCTTTGACAGTTTACTTTTATATATTTCTAACGAACTTTTCAATGTTATTTGATTTCTATTAACCATCAAACAGATATCAACATATTTCATTCTTTTATGTTATGGCTCTGTTAAAAAGGAGACAATGAAACTTTACAAATGGACAATCTTAAAAATACATCTTAGTTATTAATTCAGGTTACCACTCAAGCATAGCTACGGATATTTATAGAATCTCTTCTACACTTCATAAACCAGTGTAAGAAAAATCACAAGAAAACAATTAGTAGAAATATATTCACATTGGCAAAAAGTAGCCATAGTGAGGATTAGGTTTCTTCAAAAAAACAATTTTAAGAAGAATAATTGCAATCCAATTCCCCTTTTTTCTGTTTCTTCCTGAGCACTTACTGATATTCTGTGCATTTCAAACCTTTATCCCTTTAATACAGCAGGTAGCAATAAACAAGATATTTCTTCAAATAAGGTAAATAGATGTTCTTTGCAAACATGAATTCCTTTGTGACATACTGTTGGTATTTTCTAAAGGATTACACATCAAACATTAACATATTCACCCCAGATAATGATCCTGTTATCTCAGAGACTTCTGGTTTCTGGTGTGTATCATTAAGAGTCAATATTACATCTAATTGCAGCACAGAAAAGCTCTTGGATCATTCATTACAATGAACAAATATTGTTCTAGAATCTCATTCTCATCATTTTATCTTTCCAGAGAGACTTCCTTCTGTTTAGATTTCTGTCTTAAAGTTCAACATTTGTTCAAAATTCTCATATTTAAGTGGAAACATAATTATCATACAGGCTAGAATAAATCAAATTCAGAGGTTAACATAGTAAGTCATGTAAACTATAATTTTTAATCATTATATCTTCATATGACATTTGTTTCATCCCTTTAATGGTGTAAATAATAATTGTTCTATTCTCTGGATATTTAATATATAATTGGAGAATGGGAGTATATGATAGTGACATTGACAAAGTTAAAATTAGTATTAGAGGAAGTTTTTTTTTTTTTTAAAGATTTTATTTATTTATTTGACAGAGAGAGACACAGCGAGAGAGGGGACATGAGTAGGGGGGGTGGGAGAGGGAGAAGCAGGCTTCCTGTGGAGCAGGGAGCCCGATGAGGGGCTCGATCCCAGGACCCTGGGATCATGACCTGAGCTGAAGGCAGACGCTTAATGACTGAGCCACCCAGGTGCCCCTAGAGGGAAGTTTTTATTTTGACATATTTATATGTAGATATAAGCATGTTATCCTCGCTAAAAGAAAAAAAATCCTGTAATCATTAGGTAGTATAGTCTACGGCCATGCCACCCTCAGCACGCCCAGTCTTTAGGGCAGCAGTCCAACGAGAAGGACTACCTCTTGCACAGAGATATTTCCAAGGGATATGAGTGAAGCCGATAAAGAAAACGGTTGAGGACCAAACAGTGGGGAAAAATAAGTTTTCACAAAGAGAATCAGGAGCACTTGGTGACATGGAAGCCAAAGTGGGAATAAAAGCCGCTACTCTAGAATATCTCTACCTTAATTCCATTCAAATGCTTCTTCTACATCTTTTGAGAATATCATATGGACTTATATCATTAGCCCACTAATCAGTGAATTCCATTGATTTTCAAATGTTAAAACAGTTTCACATTCCTTGAATTGGACCCACTTGATTATGCTATATTGTCTTTTTTATGTATTGCTAGAGTCACTATGCTAATTTGTGAAAATTTTTGCATTTAGAGTTATGAGAGATACTACTGTCTTTTTGTGTTTTTATTCTTGAATTGTTTGGGGTTAGGGCAATACTGACCTCATAGAATGAGTTAGGGAAGTTTCCTCTTTTGTTTTCTGGTAGAGTGTATATATAATGCCTATTATTTTTTACTTAACTATTTGGAAAAATTTCCAGTGAAACAGTCTGTGCTAGGACTTTTCTTATGTAAAGGTTTAACTACAAATTCAAGTTCTTTCATAGATCTAGGTCTATCCTAGTAATACCTTTGTCTTTCGTGATCTCTGGTGATATATATCTTTCCAGCAAGTTGTTCATTTCATTTTAGTTTTTTTACTAGCATAAAGTCACTTACAGTATTCTCTTATTATACTTATAATTTGTGCATTATCTATATTGATCTTCCCTCTGTCATCCTGATAAGCTGGTAACTGGTTATTTGTTCTCTCTCTTTTTCATCCTCATCAGTCTAGATATAGGTTTATGAAAAGAATGATCTTTTCAATGATCAGCTTTTGATTTCAGCTATTTTCTGTTTTGTTTTTCTATTTTCTAGTTCATTGATCTCTGCTCTTATTTTTATTATTGTCTTCCTTTTGTTTACTTTGTGCTTACTATTCTCTTCTTTTTTAGTGGCTTAAAGTGGATACTTATGTCATTTCAATCATTTATACTTTCCTAATATAAGCATACATTTTTCCCTTTTATTTTTTAAGATTTTATTTATTTATTTGAGAGAGAGAGAGCACATGAGAGGGGAGGAGGGTCAGAGGGAGAAGCAGACTCCCTGCTGAGCAGGGAGCCCAATGCGGGACTCGATCCTGGGACTGCAGGATCATGACCTGAGCCGAAGGCAGTTGCTTAACCAACTGAGCCACCCAGGCGCCCCTACATTTTTCCCTTTAAATACTACTTTAATTGCACCTTACTAATTTTAATATGCCATTATTGTCTAGTTCAATTATATTTTTTAAAGATTTTACTTATTAGAGAGTGTGAGTGAGTTGGGGGAGGGGAAAAGTGAGAGGGAGAAGCAGGCTCCCCGCTGAGTGCAGAGGACCCCGAGATCATGACCTAAGCTGAAGGCAGACATTTAACTTCACTGAGCCACCCAGGTGCCCCTTTATCAAACATTTTTAATTTTTTTCTTGCAATATTATTTTGTTTGTTTCAAGTTTTATTTAAATTCCAGTTAGTTAACATATGATGTCATATTAGTTTCAGGTGTAGAATTTTAGAGATTCATCACTCACATATAATACCCAGTGCTCACGGCAAGCGCCCTCCTTAATCCCCATCACCCATTTAACCCATGCCCCCCTCACTGCCCCTCCAGCAACCCCCAGTTTATTCTCTATTAACAGTTAAGAGTCTGTTTTATGGTTTGCCTCTCTCTCTTTTTTCCCCCTATGTTCATCTGTTTTTGTCTTAAATTCCACATATGAGTGAAATCATATGGCATTTGTCTTTCTCTGACTTATTTCACTTAGCACAATACACTCTAACTCTGTCCACATCATTGAAAAAGGCAAGATTTCATTGTTTTTGATGGCTAATATTCCATTACATACACACACACACACACACACACACCAATTTCTTTATCCATTCATCAGTCGATGGACATTTGGGCTCTTTCCATAATTTGGTTATTGTTGATAGTGCTGCTATAAACATCAGGGTACATGTGTCCCTTCAAATCAGTTCTTGTAATGTTATTTTTGACATTGGTTATTTAGAAAGTTGCTGATTTGTTTCCAAATATTTGGGTATATTTCATATGTATTTCTGCTACTAGTTTCTAACCAAATTCCTTAATTGTCAAAACATACCTTTCATGATATCAATTTATTTAAATTTATTGGGTCTCATTTTATGATCTATATTTTACAGAAAATTTATATATATATATATACATATACATATGTATATATATATTCATTGTATGGAGTAGTCTCTAAATATCAAATAGGTCAGCAAGTTGATTCGTATTAACATCTTCTATACCCTTATTGATTTGACAACTATTGTCTATTTCTTTGCTCAGTTCTCTCTGTTTTGTTCTATGTCTTTTGAAGCTCTGTTACACATACAAACATTTATCAGCATCAGATCAGTATTATAAAAATTATTAAAGAACTTTGTTTAGGAATAAAATGATACCTGATAGAACTTTGAGTCCTTTTATCTCTGTTTTCAATTTTTCATGTCTTTAAGTTCACAAATTATATTGATATATTTTCAAGTTCATTGATTTTTTCTTTTTTTTTAATATTTTATTTATTTATTTGAGAGAGAGAGAATGAGAGACAGAGAGCATGAGAGGGAGGAGGGTCAGAGGGAGAAGCAGACTCCCCGCCGAGCAGGGAGCCTGATGTGGGACTCAATCCCGGGACTCCAGGATCATGACCCGAGCCGAAGGCAGTCACTTAACCAACTGAGCCACCCAGGCGCCCTCACTGATTTTTTTCTTTCACAATGTTTAATCTGCCTTCAAATCTACCAGAGTATTTTTCATCATTCTATTTTTTCTCTCTTTAAGTTTGATGGAGTACTTTATTTTTGAGGTAAAATTGGTATATAGCATTATTAGTTTCATGTATACATCATAATAATTTGATTTTTGTATACATTACAAAGTGATCACCACAATAAGTCTGGTTACCATCTGTCACCATATGATGTTTTCCCTTCACCGATTTCACCCACCCCCTACCTGCCTTCCCCTTTGACATCCACCAGTCCATTCTCTGTATCCATGA